AAAACGCAGCCTAATTTTAATTTTTGAGTGAACTAACCCTTTAAGTTACCAAAATATGATTAAGCATAAGGCCTTTACTCACAATTTCTACTTGATAATATGTTTGGCATAAGTAGAAAAAGTACATTCATGAAATGTATAAAAATGACCATGGAATTTATTCATTTATATGAAAAATCCAGGTCAGAAATCTCACTTTTATAATTATTAAAAGAAAACAATTGTTGATGGGGCGAATTAAAATAAATATAGATTTTTTTAGCTTATATTAATTCTTGTTTTGTCTTTATTTTAAATGAGGTCATCTTGGGGCACCCTTAAACATTTGCTGAGTCCCCCTAGTGGCCCCTGACCCCCCAGTTGAGAATCACTGGTCTAAATGCCTATGCCTATTGATTTAGAGAGGGAAAAAAAGTAAGATTATTGTCCTCTAGAGGGAGACAGAGATTACAATATTATCATAATAGTAACAGACTGTTTTTTTTAAGACATTCTAAAATATTTGTAATGAATTATGGTATCTCTCACCAAACCATGAAATTAAACTATTATTAACATTATCAGTGTGTCAGTAAAAACAACAACAACAAAAAGACGAAAATCAAATATGGCTAATCCTCATGCACAAAAACAAATTTGTGCCATAATCAAAAAATCATAAAGGACATCATGAAACTAAGTCATAAGGAAGGAAATCTATCTGATGTTCAGTGCCCTGTGAGGTTTGCGGTGTAATCCTGGGGATTGACTGTTGGATTTTGTGGCTGGGGGGCAGTAAGTATGTGATAAGGGTGGAATCCTTCCTGCTATCTGAAGTGATGAGAGACAAATGGCAGGATCCCTCAGTCAACACAGGGAGAGACAAGCCCTGCAGTTCACAGACTAAATTTAACGAGTGTAGACAAGCTATAAATAATTCAGGGAGAGAGACAATGAGAGTCAGCCACAAAAGCCCAACACAAGTGTGTTTCTGAGCCCTGGATCTGTGGGCTGGGAAAAGGAGTTAACACATCTTTAAAGAAAATTACAGACAATAAGGGCATAAGGAATCAAAGCTTCAGTGATCTTTTAAAAATTAAAAATAAAAAGTACTATGAACACATACTAACTTCCAAAACTCTATTTATTCCCCAGTGAAAACAAGAGCATGAAACTTAAGCTGCTAAAATGGCTTGTTCTATTCTTTTACAACTTACCAGCATCATTCAGATTATGACCATCATTCAGAATACATTTACAAACATGACCAGTGTTGGGCAGTAACTAGTTACAGTAATAATATTACTTTTTGCAGTAACTACTAGTAGTGTAACTAATTACTATTAAGATTTCAGTAATAATATTACAGTTACCATCCATAAAACAGCTTATTACTTAGTTACTTTTGATGCCTCAATCCCTACTGATTTGAAATCCAATACTTCCTAGATTTATTTTCATAATTTTCACGACTTGCACAGGCACATGAAGTCATTAGTGCATCAGGAAAGCTTGGAATATGGAAAAGCTTACATTCAGGGGATGGAAATATTGATTTTGTCAGGAGAAAAGGTGATCTGAACACTGATGTGTAAGTTTTGCCATTACTTTACTCTGGCATTACTCTTGGCATTACATGGCTTGCCCACCCACATCCCTCTGATCCCAATATAAATTATATTACTATAATTAAAAATCTTATGAACTTATGTGATTTCTTTTGATAAAATACTTCATGAAACATAATCATATATGGGTAACAGAGAAATTATAGCTACTTATAAATTACTTTTGAAAGGAGTAACTAGTAACGAGTAATAAATTAAATTTTGGAGTAAAGAGCCCAACACTGAACATGACCAACTATTTGTGCACATTTAAACCCATCACCCCTGTACAATGTAATGCAAGCTTTAAAAAGAGGCTGCTACTGAAGAATGTGAACATTAAAAACTATATTGGACCCAACGGTCTTGTTTCACACGCACAGGGGCCGTTTGCACTCTTAATGGCACAGCAGCAAATAATGACCCTTTGAGTTCTAAGAGTCAGAGAGATGGTCTTATGATTTGAACTTATGATTGTTTGGGGCACAAAAATAAATATTTTAGTGGACCCAAAAGACCACTATTAAAATCACATGATGAAATTGAGACACAACGACATTGTTTTTCCATGACCCAATATTTTTCCTGAATTGAGCTTTAGATGAGATTAGTAGAAATCTGAGAAATTAGTGATTGATCCAAACCCTGACTGATACACACTTACGATACTTACCTCACCGATCTCTTCCTTATAGAGGCAGAAGTGGACGTTGCTCATCAAACTCTCTTCACACTTGATGGCCTCAGTAATCCATTCAACGCTTCCTCTCTCCAATTTTTCCAGTTTCTCCTGTAACTGCTGCACTGACAACACCAGCAGACGCTTGGAGCATAAAGAAAGGGTTAAATGGAGAAGAATGGTCATTTACGGAACTTGTTTCATACTGTTTCTATCAAAGCAACAAGGATCAGTATGTATTTATGCATGAAGAAGTAAGAAATGATCAACATGATGGTTCTACAGGTACTGTTCACATTATGTTGTGTAAAGAAAGTTGTCAGGTTCAGGTAAGGGAATCCAAAGAATGCCTGAAATCTTTTGAAGATAATGAGGGCATGCAATATTGTTAAGTAACTGACACACCGACTGCTGCACAGTGCTGGTGAGATCTGCACCCAGCGAGAGAGCGAGCTTGTACAGATGGCGAATGTGCCTCTGCCTCTCTTGGTGTTGGGTCAACTGAGTCCTGGCCTGGCTGGTGTCACTGAACACAGTCACTGGTTCTGCATGTAATACAGTATCCAGCTTAAAAAAAAGAAAGAATCAAATTGCTTAGGCAACAACTTTCATAATATAATATAATATAATATAATATAATATAGAAAGAATAATTATTAAATAATAATAATAATAATAATAATAACATTTTAAGAAAATATTCATCATTTCTATTTGTCTACAAAATCAAAAAAATAAATAAAGTAATTAATTACATAAAATTAAAAATATAATTTTTTAGCTCTACAAGGTAGTTGAGATTGAGAAAAACAGTTAACAATTATCCAGCAAGTGTCCACTCATTCAGTACTTTTTAAAACAACTGTATCAAATTATTAAATAATGATGATGATGGTGATAATTAAGTGTCCAGCAAGTGTCCACTCATTCAGTACCGTTTAAAACAATTGTATACTATTATTACATAATGATGATGATGATGATAAATAATAATACTATTACTAGTGTTTAGTCACAATTTATAGTTGTTAGGATACAACTCGTGACGTTGGCTAAATGAATGAACACAGTCTGCACAGCTGTTATCTAGAGAATGAGTAGTGGCTTCGAAAATGCTTTTATTTTTAAGCCCTCACTATTTAATTCTCATAATCCTATTATTTCTCATAATTCATTAGAATGAGTAGGTGGCTGACTTTTAACAGTGCATATTAATTCTGGTTTTGAAATCCATTACAATCTCTTGTCAAATGATTTTTTAAAGTGTTCTGACAGAAATGGGACTTTACCTCTTGATAAAGCTGATGAAATTTACCGGCCATACTGAGAACGGTTTCATACTCCCTGATTTTATCTCTGACACGCTGATGTAGCTGCAGGAGCTCAGAAACTCTCTCGTTCTTCTCTTTTACCGGTATTCCCTTCAAGCTGAGCAGCTCGGATGTCTTAACCAGGAATTCCACTTCTGCATTCAGTTGCTATGAAGTTTTTAAAATTGAGCTTAGTTGTATAGACAACAAATCATAAGCGATAATGAAATCAAATGATTTTTCTTACCAGGAATTCTGGCTTTACAGTGTTGAAGTTCTCCTGTAGTTTAGACACAGCCTGAGAATCACCCCCCAAATCAACCTTTGATGCTGGAGCAAAAATCTCCTCCATTGCCCTTAAATCGTGAAGAGCCTGCAGGCAATTAACAAAAAAGTTGAGGGCACTTAAAATGTATCAATAGCGTATCAGGTTTATCAATAAGATTTTGTTGGAAGAAATAAAATTACAGTCTTTTTAAATGCTTTAATAATTATTTAAAATAATACGGAGCTTTTCACAAATAATTTTTACTTCCATAATCTGATGTATTTCTGAGAGAAATCAAAAGTTACCTTTTTTAGTTGATCCTTCATTTTTTTCCATTGCTTCTTTACAGATTTTATGTGACTATAATGCAATTGCCAGGATGTCCACAAGTCTGCTAATTCAGATTTCTTCTTGGTCAGTGTCTCCATATATTTTTCTACAACATGCTCTGCTGCTTTAACGTTTAGATTCAGGTTGCCACTGATCTGCAATAAGAAAATAAGGATTTAAAAGTTTTAAACCCCAAGACACTGCCATAGATTTGTAAAGACTACTAGTTGTAAGTTTGCGTTAAAATGCTTTGCAAAGTTTCTTACCATGTTAGAGGAGTTAATAAAATTGTTGCCCAGGTCCTGCATGGTGAAAAACTTCTGCAGCAATGACTGCCACTTAGCATCTAACATATCCTTCATGGATGCACCTGCTCCTTCATTTTCCTCCTCTTCTTCTGGCCTGTTCTTGTAGCATTCCTGAAGTGTCCTTATTTGCTCCTCAACCTGTGCCACCACACAAAATGTCATCATTAGAATATAGGTTTTAGTCTAATTGGATACCTCAATACTATAAATATATGTTATAAACATAACCATACCTCATCTGCACAGCGCAGAAAGTCCACATAGGGTCTGAGGCTTTCCACATGTGATGAAATGTTTCTAACCAGTGTTTTCATCTCCTCTGCCAGAAGTGAAGCTTTGTTAGACAACTCGACTGTATCTGAGGATTCCAGCCCCTTTAGTTCCTTTATAAAACCAGCTATAGCCTCTGATTCTCTCATAGCATCCTGCAGAAAAAAAAGCACCATTCAGAGAAAGACCTGATTACTATGAGAAGATCTTCATAGCACTTTTACTTTTTAGGGGTTGTATGAAATGGTAAAATAACAACTTGCTTTGAACTTTCCGTATCATATTGTATTCTCGGTCTAGGTAAGCATTAAGTCACCTGAGACTGTGAGAGTAGCTCAACATGCTTGTTAAGGGTGTCCTCAGCCTTAGTTAGAGATGAACCAGGCTCTGTACTAGAAGAGAGGACACTGTTGCTGCTCTTAATCCAAGCAGAGACCTGTGGGGATTCAGGAGTTTGAAATGAATAATAATGAGGAAATATATGCACTTCTCGACAAGCTACAACTTTACGGCAGATTTATCAGCATATAAGAAATAATCGAATGATGCATTTCAATTGTAGGTTAATTTTAGGAAAACATGTACGTTAAATCAGTTTTGTTTTTGATTTTTTTTTACAGCATAAATAAATACATTTATTTATTTTCAATACATTTTTGCATTTTTAATCAGCATAAAGGCATGTGCAAATAAAGCATCCATGGGGTCCATGATGTTTGAATACTTTGCATAAATTATGTAATTGAGTTATTGTTATTATTATTAGTAGTAGTAATAGTAGTAGTATTGGGTGGAGAAATGTTAAATGAAATTGACATTATGAAATACAATAAATAATAATAATTATTAAATAATAATAATAATAATAATAATAACATTTTAAGAAAATATTCACCATTTCTATTTGTCTACAAAATCTAAAAAATAAATAAAAATGAAATTGACATTATGAAATACAATAAATAAATATTTAAATTTGATGTGTAATTTAATTAGCATGATTAAAAAGTAATAATAATAAGCAAATAATAATAATAAATGATTGCATTTAATTTTTTTAATCAGGATAAATAAGAATAGCAAATAGCAATAGCAATCACAAAGAAAATACTTTACATAATTTACATTTTTTTAATTATAATTATTATTAATTTGCCAAAAAAAAAAAAAGGACATTTCATGACATTCACCCTCAATTATTATCACCCTCATTTATTATTAGAATTATTATTAGATCTAGATATCAACTACATACAGAGATTGCCACAAATTTGACCTTTTCCACTAGTTCTTCAAATGTAGACACCAGCTGCTGCCTTTTGCCTGTTAACTCTCTGTGGGCGTGACACTCATGGCTCAGAACCGCCATTCTCTCTTTGATGTATCCCAGCATCCTTTGCAGCCCTCCACCTTGGGCACTAACAAACAAACAAACACACATGCCCTATGGATGCCTGACACTGCACAGAACATCCCAATCCTTTTATCAATCCACTGAAAACCTGGAGTCTGGATATCTGCTGTGATATAGGCTCTATTTTTTACCACACTGTAGCATCTGCTCTTTGTCTTCTCACCTTTGTGGGTCGAGCTTTTGAATTAACAGCTGACCTCTCTGAAGAGCCTCAGCGGATGTGTCTTTTATACTCCGTGAAAACTCTTCATGTTTCCTAGCCAGTGCAGGTAATGGCAGAGGTTGATTCTTCAGTTCCTTTATAGCAATCTCTACGGTGCCCAGCACCTCAAATGCCTGGGGACCAAAATAAATAAAAAAAATAAAGATGTAATTTAATCCTGTGTTTTTAATGCACAAATGCGGATGACTAATGTTTGAGTCAATATTTGAAAGCTTTATGACCAATATAAAAACATAGTGTTACTTTGAATTTCAATGCATTTTCTAATCATTATCATCATTCATATATATACGGTGGGTACGGAAAGTATTCAGACCCCCTTAAATTTTTCACTCTTTGTTATATTGCAGCCATTTGCTAAAATCATTTAAGTTAATTTTTTTTCCTCATTAATGTACACACAGCACCCCATATTGACAGAAAAACACAGAATTGTTGACATTTTTGCAGATTACCCAAATGGCAAATTAATAATTTGGGTTGGATATAAATTGATGTCATGACTAAACAGCTCTATATCACTGTATGCAACACACTCCATGAATCACTCACATTAGACATCTCCACTAGGGGGTACTACCTTCAACCACAAAAAAACAAATGACACACAAATCTCTAGAATGTGGTCAGAAGAAATATAGCCGCTGAAATGTTTACCAAGAGTTAGGGCTCTATCAGCCCAAACCTCAACTTAGTCAAAGCATGTGAAGTGCTACTACATTACATACTTTATTAGCACTGCTGTAAAAGGCATTGCTCTCCTTCAGATGAGCCAGACGATTCATCATGAGGCTCCAGAACTGCTCGTGTGCAGCTTTGAGTTTTTCACTCTTCTCTGACAAGTGCTGAAGTTTTGTGGACTCATTTGAGGAAAGCAGATCTGACGCCTGCTGTAACAACCTCTCGACCAGCACACCCCACTCCTGAAGAAGTATAATAATAATAAAAAAAAAGATTATGATTGTGTTGTAATATTGTAAGGTATTTCTATGAGGGTATAAGACTTTCTCAGACTTGCAGTAATGTGCTGTGGTCAAACTTAAAGGGTTAGTTCATCCAAAAATGAAAATTCTGTCATTAATTACTCACCCTCATGTCGTTTCAAACCCGTAAGACCTTCGTTCATCTTCGGAACACAAATTAAGATATTTTTGATGGAATCTGAGAGCTGGTGAACTAACCCTTTAAGCACTTTATTATAACTTGATTATTTTCACAATAGCACTAAGATTAACAGAAATAGAGATCTAATGTTACTGTCACTGCTGCTCAATGAGAGAATGAGAATTAGTTTACATGATGGTTCCAACTTAAAGTTACATTTTAAAAGCTATATAATACCATACACATTTCTGTAATTATATTTATGAAATGATTCCATTGCTGTTATTTACTGATGCCTGTGATGTTGTTTTCCCACTAAAATTATGTCACAAATGATGAAATTTAACAGGATGGAAACACGAGGACAAAAAAACAAGCAAAAAAAAAAAAAAACACTGATTACCGATTACGCATCAAGCACAACACAACATGTTGTTTGAAATATTTAGATCACAGAAAGGAAAACATGATGAAACACCTGAAATATTTTTAGTAAATCAGTTTTTCAAGTTATGTAGCAGTCCATAATTCTTGAGCACAAATGCCAATATCCACTCTCAAACCAAAGAACTGAAATAATTTTAAATTTATCCATATGCTCACTTAATCATAATATTTTTAGAAAAGAAAACTAATTTGATTTTCATCTTGAAAAATGAGAGTTTAATATTTTATTCAATATATAGGTATTTTATCAGTTCATTAAAAAGTCTAGCAATCTTTTACCTTGGCTTTCTGTTCAAACTCTTTGTATTCACGTAACAAGTCCTCATTTTCTGACAGAGATGAACCCAGCTGACTGATTTCCAGAAACAAAGTAGCCTTTTCCTTAAACCACTGTGTTACCTGTTTAAAAGCACATATGACACAGTTTTAAAATGCAACAGGGTCTAAAAGTGTGAGACCTCAAGAGAAAATGATTCTACTAATCAGCATAACAATATAAGCTAAAAATAAAAAAATAAATAAACATTTTATTATTTGGTATGTACTTATTGACAGAAACACTCAATCTGACATGCATTAAACCTGATGATCATGCTCCAAAACCTCCAATGAAAGCAAAAACACCTGACTGTCAGGCTTTTTTCCTTAATTTTTTTTCTTATACCTAGAAAGAGTTTATCTTCTTCTTTTAACATTATACATTTATTTCCAGGTTTAATGAAATAAATAATGATTCAATTAAAATATCTATTAGCTGAATAATAAAAATAAGTCATTTATGGATATTATTCACAGTGATTTAAAAAAGTATATTAGCAGTAACAACATTTAATAATATTTTAAATTTAACATTGTTATTCAAAGCATTAGTGCCCTTTAATGAAAGCAGTAAGTGGGTTTTCCACAGGGATCATATCAAACACAAGCATGTGCCCTGTCCCCCTCTCAGCATGTTAAGTATGCTGGCCAGTTATTTTAGTTCGGCATTTTTAAAAAGGCAGCCAGTCATCAGTGTGTTTTTGCAGAGTGCCTTTGAGCATGCTTGAATAATCTTTACCATGTGAGAGTTTGGACAATCTAATGTGAACACACAAAAAGCTACTGATTATAGCTATATTCTTCATATTGTATTTAATTACCAAGCTATTCATTACAAAAATGGCAGTGAAAATTAAATTTTTTCCTGAATTTTCAGCAGCAAAACTACATTTTCAGCAGCCATTAATCCAGTGTTCAGTGTCACACGATCCTTGAGAAATCATTCTAATACACTGACTTGGTGTTTAAGAAATTTTTTTTTTATTATTATCAATGTTGAAAACAGTTCTGCTTAACATTTTTGTGGATTTTTTTTTTCAGGATTCTTTGATGAATAGAAACTTCAAAATAACAGCATTTATCTGAAATAGAAAATGTTTGTAACATTATAAATGTCTTTACAACTCAATTTAATGCATCCTACTGAATAAAGTATTATTTTTTCAAAACAAAAAAGAAAAGAAAAAAAAGGAAGTCTTACAGACCCTAAACATTTAAATGGTAGTGCACTAAAACTGGTGCAACTGATGCCATATCTATTGTTTATTTATTTATTTATTTTTAATAGGACTTTACTTAAGACACAGTACATCCATTTTCTATAATAAATGACTTTTTCTCTGCTAGCGAGACTTACCTCCTGTTCCTGTCTCTCCCATTGTCGTATCCGGTAGATCATTTCCAGCTCATGCTGTTGTTGTCTCATGCAAAGGTCCACTTGCCGGCGTCTGTCCTGCAGAATCTCCATTAAACCTTCCACCTTTCCAAAGCTGCTCCAGGCCCCGTGAGAAGCTCTGCCATACTTCAGGGCCTGTGTGTAGGCCGATTCGTGAACAAATGACTCTTTCAAGCTATTTTTTTCATCTCTCTAAAAGACTTGTCAATGTTAATTGTTAAATTCCTTTTGATTCTCTGAGAAAAAATAATATCTGAGATCTGGAATGTTACATTTCTTTCAGCATCTGCTCGGAAACACTGTGTGTGTTCTCTGCATAATCAGCTTCTGGTGAATGACAACTCCATCACGATACATAAATGAAAGCAGCAACCTTCAACAGATGAATGCAGTCCACTCTACATACATCATCATAACAGTAATTTAGTGGGAAGCATGTCTGTTGAAATGTTATCAGCAAAACAAATATTGCATACCTGTCAACCCTCCCGTTTTTCCCGGGATTCTCCCGTATTTTACCATTCTATCCCGCTATCATCCCGTTTAAATACTGTATTTTCCCGTATTTCTCCCGTATTTTTAATCTTTCTATAAAAAAAAAATATCCCACTGGGCGTAGGCTATTTACATTCGCTTCCGGTAAAACTCCCATAATTTGTATGGGCCAAACCTCATTATATGAATAATCACGACAACAAATTCCAAGGTTGTCCAGTTGCCAGATCTTGTATTTACTTAAGACACAGTACATCCATTTTCTATAATAAATGACTTTTTCTCTGCTAGCGAGACTTACCTCCTGTTCCTGTCTCTCCCATTGTCGTATCCGGTAGATCATTTCCAGCTCATGCTTTTGTTGTCTCATGCAAAGGTCCACTTGCCGGCGTCTGTCCTGCAGAATCTCCATTAAACCTTCCACCTTTCCAAAGCTGCTCCAGGCCCTGTGAGAAGCTCTGCCATACTGCAGGGCTTGCAGGGACTGGAAGTCCTTCAAAAATTCCAGCAACTCACGACTCTTATTCAACACCAGCTTTGACTTCTCCAACATCCCTGAGGATAGAGCACAAGCTTCGTAATACATTGGTGTGCTTTAGTCTACAGTGTTTATGGCAGATAGCAAAAAACTCTATTCACACACATATTTGAAAGATATTTTGTGGCGAGAAATCCAAACATTCCTGCTATAAGATCCCAAAGGCAAATCTGAGAACAATTCCTCTTGATTCATTAGGTTTATATCTGCATGGCTCCTAGGCCGTAACACAGTTTCATTATAGCATTATTTGTCTGCCAAAGCCCCCAGTAGAGATTTAGCTTTTTGGCAGGTGCTTGGCTGCTGCTAAGAGGTTCCAGGGCATCATAAGCCGGTTGTGAGTTTGTTACAAGGGTGTTCAGAATGGATGCTTTGGAATGACAGACAGAATTAGGAAATAAAGCTCTTACCTCTTCTAATAGTGCTGTGTCTTTGAAGCAGTTCATCCGTGTTGTCTGCAGTGATTGATTTCTGGCCAACACTCCGAAAGTCTTCAGCTTCATCTATCCTAATGGCAAACTGTAATTGAAAAAGTTTTAAAAGCAGCTGAAAAAAACTGGTAAGATTGAGAGACAAGTATAAATTGCAAATCAAAACTGGCCAGATGAACATATTCATCTAAATTTAAAAAAGGCTGCATTTATTTGATCAAAAATACACACACACACACAAAATATTACAAGGAAAAAAACTGTTTAAATCATATTTTAAAATGTAATTTATTCCAGAAAATCTATAATTTTTCTGGAAAATGTCTTTACTGTCACTTTTGATCAATTTAATGCATTATTGCTGAATTAAAGTATACAACAAATAAAATAAAAGTAAAATAAATGAAATTACCATTCTATCCCGCTATCATCCCGTTTAAATACTGTATTTTCCCGTATTTCTCCCGTATTTTTAATCTTTCTATAAAAAAAAATATCCCACTGGGCGTAGGCTATTTACATTCGCTTCCGGTAAAACTCCCATAATTTGTAAGGGCCAAACCTCATTATATGAATAATCATATAATGATTATTGGCTCACCCAGGCTCACCCAAGACGGCGCCGACGCTGATGGCTGCCTCCGTGGCGTGCTCCGCAGTTGTTTTTATGTTTTTGTTAGTTTGTCCTGTCTTTAGTTATATCCCTGCAATCAGTTTCACCAGAGACGAATTGCTGGACATTCGGCAGTACACACCACCCGATATTTCACCGGTTTTCGACTATTCTGATGTTTTGCTGGACATTGTAGTCAGGGGAGCTGTGGCGCTGATCAAGCGCTTCAGGACGCGCAGACAGGGGAAGCGAGCCGGCGCGCTCGTGAAGCTAAGGCAGCGCGGATTCAGAACGCCGTTGCCTAGCATCCATCCCCGGACAAATTCAAACTCTGCTGCTCTGTGTTTCACGGAAATCTGGCTGAAAGACGCCATTCCGGACAGTCCGGACAGCCTCCCGGGCTTTCAGCTGTTCAGAGCGGATCGCGAAGCAGAATCAACGGGGAAATCACGCGGCGGCGGGACATGCTTTTACATCAATGAGAGGTGGTGTACAGATGTAACTGTGTTAAAGAAGATGTGCTGTCCAGATCTAGAAGTGCTCTTCATTAATTGCAAGCCATTCTATTCGCCGCGGGAGTTTTGCTCATTCATTCTCGTAAGTGTGTACATTCCTCCGCAAGCACACGTGAGCACCGCTTTACAGAAACTCGCTGATCTGATCACAGACACAGAACAACAACACCCGGACTCTGTTTTAATCATTCTCGGGGACTTTAATAAAGCAAATCTCTCCCGTGAACTGCCAAAATACAGACAGCACATCACATGTCCCACCAGAGACAGTAATATATTGGATCACTGTTACACCACAATAAAGAATGCATATCACTCTGTTCCACAAGCAGCTTTGGGGCTCTCTGATCACTGTTTAGTTCATCTAATACCGACCTACAGGCAGAAACTGAAATCAGCGAAACCTGTATTAAGGACTGTAAAAAGATGGACTAATGAAGCAGAGCAGGATTTACAAGATTGTTTTGACCTCACTGATTGGAGCATTTTTGAAGCTGCTGCCACCGATCTGGACGAGCTCACAGAGACTGTAACATCTTATATCAGTTTCTGTGAAGACATGTGCATTCCTACCAGGACTCACCTAACTTACAACAACGACAAACCATGGTTCACTGCAAAACTCAGACAGCTCCGTCAGGCCAAAGAAGATGCTCACAGGAAGGGGAATAATGTCTTGTATAAACAGGCTAAATACACACTGGAAAAGGAGATCAGAGTGGCAAAGAGGAATTATTCTGAAAAAATAAGGACTCAGTTCACTTCCAGCGACTCGGCATCAGTGTGGAAAAGTCTAAAAGAAATCACCAACTACAAGACACCATCCCCCAGCACTGCGAAGAATCAGCAACTGGCAGACGATCTGAACGAGTTCTACTGCAGGTTTGAAAAAACACCCCACACCCGCCCTGAACACCTCTCCACACAACCATTCACACCTCCAGCAACCCCCCTCTCCCCCACACCTGCAATTCAGATCAGTGAAGACGAGGTGCGCCAGGTCTTCCGGAAGCAGAAAAGGAAAAAAGCACCAGGCCCAGACTGTGTTACACCAGTCTGTCTGAAATCCTGTGCTGACCAGCTGGCCCCCATCTTCACACAGATCTTCAACAGATCACTGGAGCTGTGCGAAGTCCCTTCATGCTTCAAACGCTCCACCATCATCCCCATCCCAAAGAAATCCAAAATTACAGGACTAAATGACTACAGGCCTGTGGCTCTAACGTCTGTGGTCATGAAGTCTTTTGAAAAACTGGTGCTGGCCCACCTGAAGGACATCACTGGACCCTTGCTGGATCCTCTTCAGTTTGCCTACAGAGCAAACAGGTCTGTGGACGATGCAGTAAACATGGGACTGCATTATGTTCTGCAACATCTAGACAGACCAGGGACTTATGTGAGGATCCTGTTCGTGGACTTCAGCTCGGCCTTTAACACTATCATCCCAAACCTCCTCCTGCCCAAACTAACTCAGCTCTCCGTGCCCACCTCCGTCTGTCAGTGGATCAACAGCTTCCTGACAGACAGGCAGCAGCTAGTGAGGCTGGGAAAATACACATCCAGCACCCGTATAACCAGCACTGGAGCTCCTCAGGGTTGTGTTCTCTCCCCACTGCTCTTCTCCCTCTACACCAACGACTGCACGTCTAAAGACCCCTCTGTCAAGCTCCTGAAGTTTGCAGACGACACCACACTCATCGGCCTCATTCAGGACGGTGACGAGTCTGCTTACAGACAGGAGGTCGAGCAGCTGGCTGTCTGGTGCAGTCTCAACAACCTGGAGCTCAACACACTCAAAACTGTGGAGATGACCGTGGACTTCAGGAGAAACCCCCCTGCACTCCCCCCACTCACCATCATGGACAGCACTGTGACTGCAGTGGAGTCATTCAGGTTCCTGGGCACCACAATCTCTCAGGACCTGAAGTGGGACACTCACATAGACTCCATTGTTAAAAAGACCCAGCAGAGGTTGTACTTCCTTCGCCAGCTGAGGAAGTTCAACCTGCCACAGGAGCTGCTGAAACAGTTCTACTCCACCATCATAGAATCCATCCTCTGCACTTCAATAACTGTCTGGTTCAGCTCAGCTATCAACCCATTTGTCCCCTCAACTTGGCAACCTACAGCCTAGTGATGCTATTGATATCTGCGCAGGTAGTACGGCGGGAAGGAAACAATGATCACTGGTAGAAATGGGAGGAGAAGACTCAGGTGGTGCTCCAGTGGAAAAAAAACTAAATATACACGTAAATGTATATTTACATGAATAATGAGATATAGCTTACACTTCAAAAAGGCTATTTAAATGATTAAATATGAGCGCTGCAAGTTTCAAAGTCAGGTGCTGTGCTGCTTTGTTTACTGCAGTTACCGGGGAAACGGCTATATTCCTGGCGAAAAGCGCCACCTGCTGGCAGAGAATGAATTTGCATTTTAAACCAAAGCCAATAACGACCCTTATTTTTACGCAGAAAACACACAGTTGTAAATGTGACCTGGAGGATCAACAAGACAATGAAGTATAAAACTCTAAAGATATAGCCTACACTAAGATATATTTATGTTACTAAATGAACATAATTGTTAGATAATAATTGTTTAAATCAATATAAAAATAATAATATAATATAATATAATATAAAAATTGTTACTTTTGACTTCACCCCCCCTCCCGAATTTTGGTACCCAAATGTTGACAGGTATGACTACATTGCCTAACACACATGCAAACACACACACACACACACACACACACACATGTATTTCT